AGTGTATACTCCTTTTGGGGGGGGGGGGGGGTTCGAGCTCCACCAAAACTGTGCAGTGGCACTAGCTAAAGCATCACAATTCTCCAACGGAAGCAGAAAGAAAGACATTACATAGGTTGGGAGTGTGAACATGATTGACTTAATCATTACTTCCTTTCTACCTTTTGATAACCACCTACCCGTCCATCCATTGACTCTATTCCTTAGCTTATCCTTTAAGAAAGAAAAAACTTACATTTGGATCCACTGATATCCTTTGGGATTCCTAAGTATGTTCTCATCCCTCCTTCATTTTGAATCCCTAGTGTGTCTTTAATATCTTGCCTAACATCTTGACCGATTCTCTTACCAAAGAGTAGAGTTGATTTGTCAGAATTAATGCATTGTCCTAAAGCTTGTCCATATTTCTTGACCACTTTTATTACTTCTTCACATTCACGGATCTCCGCCTTATAAAAGAACATGATATCATCAGCAAAGAGAAGGTGAGATACCGAAGGACACGCATGCGTGATGCTCATCCCCGTTATCTTTCCATGACTCTCTACATGATTTAAAAGGCTTACAAGCGCTTCCGTGCATAGAATAACAAATGAAAGGGGACAGAGAATCCCCCTGCCTTAGACCTCTCTCTGGGACAATATTTCCTCTTGGATGGCCATTCATAAGAACCTTATACTTGACTGATGTTACACATCGCATTATCCAGGTTATCCAGATCTCTGATAAACCCATCTTCCTCATGGTAGCCTCGATGAAGGATCACTCCATCCTATTGTACACCTTGCTCATGTCTATTTTAACGGCCATCCTCTTGTTGCCACTTGGTTTGGTTCTTAGAGCGTGGAACATCTCCTGAGCAATCATGATGTTGTCAGATATCTGTCTCCCAGCAACAAAGGCTAACTGGATTTCTGAAATCCAATCTGGTAGAACCTTTTTTAACCTCTGACAAAGGACCTTAGAGATTATCTTGTAACTAACGTTGCATAAGATGATGGGCCGTAGCTGGCTCATCTGATTCGGCTTATCTACTTTCGGAATGAGACATATGTTGTTGTCATTTAAAACAGTATGTAATGTGCCTTCAAAAATGAATTGATTAACCATAAGAGTTAAATCAGTCTTTAAAAAATCCCATAATTTCTGGTAGAAAAGCGCAGTCATTCCATCTGGTTCTGGGGCCTTCTCTGGATGCATTGCAAAAATAGACAATTTGATCTCCCATTCAGTGACATGAGCTAATATTTTCATTGTCTGCTGATGTGATGGTTGTAGACACCTCAGATAGTGCTTCCTCTATATCCTCATGGTTCAATGATTGGAAGATATGTCTAAAAAAATAACTTGTAGCAATGACTACAAGTCCTTCCTCATCCTCTACAACATTCTCATCTTCATCTAGTAACTGTGTAATCATGTTCCTTGCTCTTCTCTGTTTTGTGAAGGTGTGAAAAAATTTGGTATTCCTATCTCCCTCCCTTAACCAAAAGATCCTACACTTCTGCTTCCAAATCATCTCCTCCACCTTAAGAGCGTCAGACAGTTCCTTTAAAGCTGTCGCAATCTCCTCTGTAGTGGCATTATCGTTTGAAGATAATTGATCCACCTTCTCTTTCAACTCCTCCACACTCTTCTCCGAATTCAGATTATGCTGCCTTTTCCAGTCACATAATGCTCGCCGGCAACTTGCAATATGCTCCATGATACTTGCGCCTGGTGGGAGATCTGGTGATTTCCATCCCTCTAGAATGACTTGCCTGAGCTCCTCATTGTCCAATCATCTCTTATCAAATTTGAAATTTTTTAATCTTCTCGGTTTCTTTTTAAGAATATTAGCTAAGATCGGACGATGATCCGATCCCCAGAGCCTCATATACTGTACTTTGGAATGAGGGAAATGTTCATGCCAGTTCTCATTTCCAACAGCTCTGTCAGGTGGCATCTAACAGTAGTCCTCCCTGCTCTGTTTCCTACCCAAGATAACATGTTCCCTTAAAAATAAAATCCAACATACCACAATCACTCAGCATTTGCTTGGAGGGTCAAAAAGAATTGTCTGTGCGTCGTCTGCCTCCTTCCTTCTCCTCATGACAGGTTATTTCGTTAAAATCACCTATCATAAACCAAGGTCCATTTCTTGTTGTTGAGAAACGCGTAAGACGTACCCAAACCAAATCTCTTCGTTCAAGTACAGGATCCCCATAAACAAACGTCATAAAGAGTTTTATTCCATCAATGACTGCCTCAATGTCAATCATTCTGTTATTCGAAAATAAAACATTAACTTGAAAATCATCCATAAAAAATAAAGCTAAACCTCTGCTGAGTCCAAGTGGCTCAATAGTAAACAAACGATCAAATCCTAAGTCGGCCTGAATGTTTTGCAATAGCAGCCTCGTGTTCTTCATCTCAGATATAAACACAAGTCTTGGGCGATGCTTCTGACACATCTCCGTAAGGCGTCAAAGTGTGAGGTCGTTCCCAATCCCTCGACAGTTCCAACTGATTGCCTTCATGGATGATTCTTTGGGATTTTTTTGGACCCCTCCAAATCATTATCCTTGTGGGAACTTGACTAAGCTTTCCTTGAATTGGTGTGACGCTTATGCCCATGGTGGTTGGTGTCCCCCATCGCGGGTAAATCAACTGAAGAACCATGTTTCTTTAGAGATCCCCGACGAAGAAACTCCAGTTTCTTGCTTGGCATCCCACGTGGGAACCCATATTGTGAGCCATGCCTATGTAAATTCAGCCTCTTCTCTTTAGTACTATTGCCATCCGCATTATGGCGAGAATCTTTTTGGCGTGACAGGGATCCCTCCTCCATTTCTCTCAAATCCTCTCCGAGAAGGTCCTCATGTTGTGCAACATGTTCAACATCTTGATGATGTTCAATGTTCATGGAGCCACCAAAATCCATGTCTTACAAGGCACCAATAATCTGACCATTATCCAAGTCATAACAAAGCCTTTCTTTCTCGGTAGGAGAGAAAGTAATAGCACGTGGATTTTCCTTGTCACAGAACGTTATGTTTTCTTCATTATCTAGGACCATCCTAGAAGGCGTGACAATGGTACTTGTTATTTTCCTGCCAGTGCTTCGAGATACAACAGTTTGTGCATCCGATACATCAGTTGGGTATAGAGACCTAGTGAGAAGAGAATCCTTCGTATGTTTCCCTACATCAGTACCATTACGAGGTATTATATTAAACTTATCATATTTCCCACCATTATTATTTTCCTTCCAAGTTTGGGTTTGTTTATGCTCATAAGGAGCATAACGTCGTTTACGTTGAGAATCAGAATTAGTCCATCGACTATCTCTTTGTTGCCGTGAAGCATTCTGAAGTTCCTTTGTATGATAATGTTTGTTCTCATAGCGGTTGTTATGAGAATTCCCGTGACTTCTTTGTTTAAACGATTCGTCTTCTTTCCTTGACGCCACATTTGAAGGTTTGTAGCTGTGATAACGATCATGCTTTGTTTTATTTGCCAACAAAGATTGACGAGAACGTGGTTCAAAGGGCAACTGCACTCGAGAGAACACACCTATCACCTTTTCTTGTTCCCTCTCAGCCTCCAGTTTCTTTGGACAGTACGCAATTTAATGCAATAGATGTCTACAGTGTGTGTAGTGTTTAAACAGCTTTACATACTTGAATTGAATCGAGACCTTGTCCCCTCACTGAATTTTCTTATTGAAGATCAAGGGCTTCCTTGTGTCAATGTCCACCAATATACGCCTCTCCAATACCTCAATTGCGTCACAATGAACGCGTCCAAGCTTGTTACCTATCGTCTTTAGGTTGTTCAGCGTCCACAAATGCAGGGGAATGCCTGTGATTTTCACCCAGAAAGGAATGGTCCATGGGTACTCATCACGAACAATGGGCTCCCACCTTACCAACACAAACATGCAAAAGTTATGATGGAATGGACTCTGGCTAAGCACCGACTGTATGTCCTCCTCAGATGTGAAATTGAACAAAAACTTTCCATTGCTGAGATCATTAGCAGAGATTCTATTTTGCAGTCTCCATTGCGTAGGCATGGAGTTGATGAGCTTTTCGACGTTTTGTGTTTTAGGATTCAAGAATTCCTAATCAAGGACATATGAAACTCTTGAATGGTGTGAGATCCATCTTCTTCTACCAGCAAGATAGGTTCATCGTCGTCCTCAAGTAGGAAACCTTCCCCTTAGTGTCTGTCTGCCATAGAAGCAGAAAGGAGTCTATGAGATGATCCCTATCGTAGATATCACAGATCCAGTAAGATATCCAGAGATAAAAGAAAAGAACCAATCTGAATTACGACCAGCCAATGAACCGACGTAACCAGAAATACGGTAAAACAATAGTCTTGTTGGTTGATAGAGAAGAATAGCAGAGCCGATCGTATGTAGTATCGTGAAAGAAACACGAAACTAAGTTACTTGAAAGAGAAGGTTTGAAACAATGATCCAAATCGCACAATGATCGAGAGAGAGGTGAGACATGCTGATCTATTGTCAAAAAAAACAATCAGATCAGTTGAAGATCGAAATCCCAATGGAGATTTCAATCCCTAGGTAGCCATCGCCGTCGGCTAGGGTTTCTCTTTTTCTCAGTGTCATAATAACATTTTTTAAAGTACATCTTATATATTAAAAGAGAAGTCATGACTTCACTTCATGTGTGATATTTTAAAATAGACCATCTAATAGAATTTATGACATTACATTATTTAATCATTAATAACATTCATTAAATTCACTAATAACATTTATTGGGCTTACTAAAAATTTTTATTGAGCTAATAAAAATTAGATGATCCATTGGATTTATAGATATTATAATAAAATACATGTTTAAACTAAACTTATATAATTTAATATTGTAATAGTATAAGTTAATTATTTATATATTTTTATGTTAACTTTAAAAACTATATAGTTTATTTTTAAAAATAACAAAATCATCATTTTATAATAATAATAATAATTAATCTATACTATATAATAATTAATCGTCATTTTTGATATACACACCTTATATAATATATACCAATTTAGAAGTAAAAAATGTTTAAATAAAAATAAATGAAAACAAATACTCTCACGGTTGCGCGGATTGAGATTAAAACAAAAAAAATTAAGTATCTATCAAAAACAGCTCTCACATCATCTCATAAGGTACAACTATAAAAAAAGAATATTAATAGAAAAATAATAATTCCACCAAACCCAATCTTTGCAAACCTGTGTGTTGTGGTCCGATTCGTACGCACTTCATCAAACCTTTTTGGAATCATTTCATCTTATCGTTAGTTTTGTTCGAGGAACTGTTTACGCGTTATCGAACAAAACCGACGAAAGCTTTGACAATTCTGCTTTCTTAGGCTTATATTATCAACCACCGGGTCAATCAACTCGTTTACTTTTCTTCGGTCTTCTCTGCCTCCACTGATATATCTTTGATATTTCCGCATCAATAATGGCAGAGAGAGAGAGATACATAACAAGACAACTTACTGCTGTTTTTAAACTCTCTGTCTGATTAAATACCACAAGTCCAACAAAGGTTCGAGAAACAGAGACGTTTCCAGAAGAATCAAAGCTGTTTTTTTCTTCTCCTTATTCTTTGATCTAATTAGGTGAGATTTAATACAAAAAGTTATCAAGATTCGTTGAATTTTAAGGGTTTTTTTTTGTGGGTTTCTGAGAAGCTTCTGTTTGATCAGCTTCATTGCAAAACAGAGGGATTACTCTGTTTTTGGAGGGATTACTCTGTTTCTAAAGTTGCTGGATCGAAAGTTCTGATATTTGATTCCTGAGGCTTATAGTTTTTTAGTTCTGCTCTTTGTGTAGTATCAATAGCTACTAGATTTGGAAGTGTTTTTAGAGATGGATGAGAGTAACCATGGAAGTTCATCATCATCAAGCTCACTCCCACCTTTCCTTACCAAAACGTATGAGATGGTTGATGATCCCTCATCAGATTCAATTGTCTCGTGGAGCCAGAGCAACAAGAGTTTCATCGTTTGGAATCAGGCAGAGTTTTCTAGAGACCTTCTTCCCAGATTCTTCAAACACAACAACTTCTCAAGCTTTATCCGACAGCTTAACACATACGTAAGTGTTTATTTTAGTTATGCTCTGTTTCTTGATCGATACAATCATCTTTGTTTGGTTTAGTTTAGTTTTAAATGTTTTGTTGTTTTTTAGGGTTTTAGAAAAGCTGATCCTGAGAAATGGGAGTTTACTAATGATGATTTCGTGAGAGGCAAACCTCATCTTATGAAGAACATTCATAGACGCAAACCTGTTCACAGCCACTCTTTACCTAATCTCCAATCTCAGCAAAACCCGTTGACGGATTCAGAACGGCAGAGAATGAACAGTCAGATCGAGAGACTGACCAAGGAGAAAGAAGTGTTGCTTGAAGAGTTACATAAACAAGAGGAGGAACGAGAGTTGTTTGAGCAGCAAGTTAGGAAACTCAGAGATCAGTTACTACACATGGAGAAGCGTCAGAAAACAATGGTTTCCTCTGTCTCTCAGGTATTGGAGAAACCAGAGCTTGCTCTGAATCTATCTCCGTGTCTACCCGAAAAAAACGAGAGGAAAAGAAGGTTCCCTAGGGCTGCATTAGAGACGATGTTGGAAGAGAACCACCAGACAAGTGGTGTTGTGAGAGAGGAAGGATCTACAAGCCCTTTCTCACACGATGCAACTGAGCATCAGGTGGAACAGTTGGAGTCATCGATAGCGATTTGGGAGAATCTTGTATCGGATTCTTGTGAGAGTATGGCACAACAATCAACAAGAAACATGATGACACTTGATGTGGATGAATCATCTACTTGTCCTGAAAGCCCTCCTCTTTCTTGCATTCAGCTAAGTATCGATATACGTCTTAAATCTCCTCCCTCTCCAAGGACCATTGACATGAACTCTGATCCTGATGTTTCGAAAGAACAGAACAGTGTTGCTCCTGCTCCAGCAATAGGAGCGAATGATGTCTTCTGGCAGCAGCTTTTGACAGAGAACCCTGGCTCGGAGCAACGGGAAGTTCAATCAGAGAAAGCTGAAGATCGCAGTGAGAAATGTTGGTGGAACTCGAGGAATGTAAATACAATAACAGAGCAGCTTGGACATCTGACTTCTTGAGAGAGAAGTTATCAGTGATCTCTACTTTAGATCTGTTTTTTTTTTAGTTTCTTCTGCTATAGGTTTCTTTGTTTTTATGCATTTGGGTCCGTCTTTGATCATTAATGTATGTCCTTTGAGTTCATGTCAGGAGACTACTCTACAACATTAATCTTGCAGGGGAACTGTAGAAGTTTAACCTAAAAAAAATATGCAACAGGGGTCGAAACATATTGCAGAAAAGCAAAATGTTACAAGGCATGGTATGTGTTGCGCATTGGACATTTGTAGCATACAAACCGAAATTGTGAAATCCGAAAACACTTGAAAAATATCAAAGATAAATGTGAATGGTTTCCAAGTGACATGACAAGTTTTATAATCTTAGTTTGCTAGATAGTACTAGGGGTGGTACAGATCGGAAATCCAAGGTATTTTAGTATATCCAGATTCAAATTCGACGGATCCGTAAAATTGCTATCAAGATTCGGATTCGGGCCTTCCGAATATTCGGACCCCAGATATCCGAGCTAAAACTCGAATACCCGCGGATATCTGAGTCCGTTTTTTTTAAACAAAAATCAAAATTCAATTAAAAATTAAGTATTGATTTATTCTATTAAAAATTATTATATTACAAAAATTTAAAATAATATAATTTAATAATAAAATTAAGTTTTAGTTATTTTTAATAAAAATATATAATATACCTATATAAATATAATTATATTTAAAATATTTAGTGGGTCCGAATCCGGATCCGGGTATCTGAACTTAAAATTTCACTATCCTGATCTGGAATCGCCGTATCCATAAAATCACTATCCGGATTCAGACCCTCTGGAAATGCATTTTTTCGGGGCGGATCGGAGGGAATCTCAGATCGAATAGCAGATAGTGGATATTAAGTCTGAGCCCGACTAGATACACATCTTTGTTGTTCAATTTGTTTTTTATATATATATATATTAGTGGTCAATCCCCACTACACACAAACTGAATTTTTTATGTTATTAAAAATCTATTTTATCAAATGTAATTGTTAATATGCTAATCTAACCGTAAAAGTTGGTTTTTAATTAACGTTGTAATTGTTTACTTGTAGCAGATATAAGTCATTGGATAAGAGGTTAAGACTGAAGATCATCTTTTGGAATTATATTTGAGCTATTGTAGTTGTTATATATTGTTTAATTAAGTGTGGCTGTTTTATACATTTAATAAAATTAAATTTTTATCGAGCGAGTATTTTGATGGAAAAATTATATGAAAGTTAAAAAAATAATATATTATTTAGTGACAAAGAACATAAATAGTGTGACTGAAAAAGTCAGTTTTATAAACATTATTGTTTTGCCTTTTGAACCGCTTTGTCAACGATTGGTGATGATCGCATGAAATTACGGATTGGTTAACCCGATGTATAATATGTACTAAATTTTTTTAAGGAGGTTTCGATGTTAGAGAATAGCTGATTTATATTTACTTTAAAAAATAGATTTTTAATGAGGTTGTTGGATTGTAGTGGAGGTCACTAGTCTTTTATATTCATGTAAACGATACAAAACGTTTCTGTTGAGTTATGTGTGAGTTAATAAAATAATTTATTGAGAATGATAATTTAGTAGTAACATTGTAGGCTAACGTATGTAGATTTTTAATTAATGCATCAAACATTTATTATAAAATTGAGTAAAGTTTGCTCGTACACTTTGACGGGTGACTAAGTTATGATTGATTAAGTTTGAGTTAGAGGAATAACTCAGAAAACGTCACTAATTATAAATTAATTTTAGAATTTTGAGTTATTGTTTGAATTAGAATGTGTTACATTGAGTTACAATTTTTATTTATTCCTTTAATAAAACTGATAAATCAAGTTTTAACTCAACATCAAAGAAAATGGCATGTATTATGATTTTAGTGAGTTTTTTTTTTGTTTCAACTAAAGACCCACGTACTTTTTACTATATTTGACAAATTATTCTTTTTCTAAATGCATTTTATAGTGCCCTACATTTATCTATGTAATTATTTTAACCAGTTTTTGTATAATTTTGATTATTAGCTCTATTTGGTGACTATTGTTATAGCATAAAATTATTTATTTATATAGGTGCATTTCATTAAAATTTTAATAAATATTATTATTAATATTATTATTACTATAACATTATATATTTAGTTATTTTGTAAAATAAATATTCATTAAAAATTACTAATCAATTATTTTAAAAAATATTTTTCCTACTTTAGTGGAAAGTCATTCAATCGAAAGAGCCCATGCCAGAGAAACTGGCTCTGCTACCAATTTGTGAGAATTAGAGGCGATGAAACCTCGAACCAAACCTCCTTCTATTCTCCCATTACACAAACAATAACGAACCAAACTAACACAACGATTGTTGACCCGGTGTTCAACGCACCTCTCAGTTAACGACGAAGAACCGCTATATCTCATCGGAGCTGGGATCGAACCAGCAATCACTATATAGCTCACAAGCGAGCTACGTTACAAGCATTGACTCAAGTCTCTCTCTTGTTTCTTGACTGTTACAACGATAACAACCAGCTCAAGAAGTTGACTTAGGGCCTGACTAGTTCTCCCGCCATCACCCGCAAACGTAGCTTTTGCGGTTGGTAGCGGTTGTTGGCGTTTTGCAACAATCACAGAAAACGCTATAAACCGCTTCAAATCGCTCTGAATCTCTAAAAGTTGGCGGGTGATTGCGGGAGGATAAAAAATATTATTTTTTCCAAAAAACTCGACCTCCTATAAGGAAGTGAATGAAAGTAGGTGAAATCTCTTCTATTCAGAAGCGGATCAAGAAAATAGTAATCAACGGAGAGAATAAGCAATTGATAAGCAATTGAGTTTCATATGGTATCAGAGCCACCTTCTTCTTTATTAAACAGAGAACCAGATATATAAATATAAAAATAAAATATTCAATTAAAATAATTAAAATACTGAAATATTTATATTATAAAATTTCCAAAAAATAATTTTATTTAATTTTTAAAAATTTAATAGTGCAGTTTTTTCAATAAAAAAATTTATATGTATCATAAAAATATAATTTTAATATTTTGATAATTATATAAAATATAAATATTGTTAATTTATTATTTAACCGCTGTGGTATTTGATGATAAACCAATCATAAGTATCCCGCAAACGCAACAATTTTTAACCGTTGAGACAGTCCTATAAATCTCTTACTAACGCTTAAAAACGCAATCTCCCGCATCCGCAATCGCCCGCAACCGCAACCGCAATCGCCGCGTTGTAACCATTCAGGCCCTTACTCGTCTTTATAACTCAGCAGATTACACTCGTGTAAACCACACGTGTAGCCAATGAGAGAAGGTATTCTAGTCAAAAGCGAAACAACACAATTACTTACAAAAGCTTAGACCATCCGCAATGGCGGATCCTTAGGGAGAATCCTTAGGGAAATATTAATTTTATAATCAATGTGTCTCATGAACAGTTAAGGATTTTAAGAATAAAATCCTTATGTAAGGATTGATCCTTACACTATTTGAGGGCTCCATTGCCCACGTGGCGGTCCGTGAGTGGTCAGTTTTTTTTTAAAAAAGAAAAAATCTGAAATATCCTTATATAATCCGAAATACCCCTTTTTCTTTTTTCCTAAGGATTCCCCCAAGGATCCGCCATTGCGGATGCTCTTATAACCCTTTACCTCATACCGAGTCTTTGATAGACTTAAGCCACACGAGATTCTTCTTTCTTCTTCAGCTTCTCTTAGGACCTTTATAACTTGGATCCTTCTGCTTTGATCTAATAACTAGACCCTTCACTAATTAAGGACACTTCTGATAGAGTGATGTGTAAAATGAACAAAGAAGCAAATCCAGTGAGGGTTGCTTCCAGGCCAGAGGCGAAGATGGTCATCTTGTCAGGGCTACCTGAGTACCTGGTACAAATCTTCGAATATCGACCTATATAAAAACCACCCCAACCAAAGTCAGTATTCCGTGAATCAACTCGTGTATAAAGGGTTAGATAAATGAAGTAACCTGGATTTGTGAGCCAGCAACGAGCATTCCAGAAACAAAACCCTCAGCTATCTGGCCATAGTGGTTAGCCAGAGACACGGTGAAGTTATAACTTGTGGTTACAGTACCATTAATTACTCTCGCTATTCAAGAAAGAACCTGACATAGCAACTATTTCATATTGTCCCTGAAAATATACAGACCACAAGACCCTAATCAGATAAACATTCGAGCTCCATTGATAGTTCAAATCAAGACCAAGAAGTAAGAACATGAAAAGTTATATACCTCATACTTAACAACTCCACTAGGATTGTTAGATTCATGAAGCAGCAGACTAGATATAGCTCCTGAACCTGAGAGAATAACGACCTCACCTGGTCCTTAATGCTTATATGCCACTATCTTTGTAGCTATGTTCTGAGTATTAATAAATCAAGTAAATAAAGTTGAGAAGTTAAAGATTAAAAATTTGAACACTTTAACAAAAGAATATATGAAAGATGAAAAATGAAAAATGAAAAATGAAAAATGAAAAATGAAAAATGAAAAATGAAAAATGAAAAATGAAAAAAGGAGAAAAGGTAAAAAAAAAAAAATATAGGTTCTGCAATTCATTATAATCTCTGTGTTTTGGTATTTTTTTTTTTTTCTCCTCTTTGTATATTGATACCAAATATGAATAGTTTTCAGTTAAATGATTCGGATAAATGAAAACAATTAGACACACAGTTCTTATTGATATGGTTTGTAAGTAAAAAACAAATGCTTATACTTTATGACACAAATTCGAGAATTGATGACACAATTTTCTTTCTAAAATGCATATTTGAGATAATCATTATTGGTAAGTATGATTTGTTTGGTTATTAATAGATACTAGATGCATAGTCCCTGCGCAAGCGCGGGGGTTGGATACGTTGTTGATGTGTTGTGTAGTTTTGTGTATGAGACTTGCTGTTTTTTTTTAACATTTGTTTATCTGGCTTATCTATAATGGTGATGAATGAAACATTAGAAGTCACACAACTTGTTTAGTCTGATAAAAGAATAAACATCGAATTCATATGGGTTGATATTTTCATATTTTATCTTCGTAGTGATTTTATCGAGTATTCCCTTTATTAGTGATTTTATCGAGCATTACTGTTATTAGGGCTTTCATGTAAAACAATAATTTAATGGAGACAAGAGAAAAAAGGACATGTGTTTATTAGTGTAATTTTCTTTCTGAAATTATGTTGTATATATATATATATATATTATTTAATTGTGATGTATATGAGATTTATGGTCGATCTGAATGGTTCGGGGTAAATATTTATTATTGAAAATATTT